CAGTCAGGTAGAAGTACACTGGAGAGGTTTTGCTCCTGTGTGCAAAGATTCATTGGATTAGAAAGATAATTATGGGCAATTAAATTCTGACTTCATCCCCAAATGATTAGACTGCAGGTGCAGCGCCTGATGCAAATGTATCCATCATAACAAGTCACTTCATCTTGGTTTGAGGGTGCAAAATCTCACTTTTCTTAGAAGGAGAGAGGAAATTTGGCTGTGAGCAATTTTAACTTGGTTCCGATGCAAATCAACTTGTGGGAATTTTGTTTTGACCCTTGTGATCTGCTTTACTAATGCACTTGAGAATTATACAAGTGTCACCTGCAACCCTCAGGGCTTTCCCTCTCATTCTGGAGGGGGGAAAAGGAAAAAGATTCAGGATGAATTTAAACTCCCTCTGAAGATTCACTTTTGTTTGCAGTATGGCACATGCACCCAAGCCCACAGACAAAGCTCCTACTGGTTGACTGGAGGGATAAATGCTGCCCCCGACAACGCACATGCTTCGTTATTAAGCATGAAAAGTGGACATTTGCAACTGAACATCTCCTTTAACCTAAAGCTCTAGTCCTCATCCCTGAATCCACTATCAGTTGACAAAATGCTCCTCTTTGATTTCATGTGTTGCGTTCAGGTGGTTGGCCAGCTCTTGCATCACAGCATCTTTGCCAATCTGATCGTTCCTCCTCTTTTCCATGATCACGTCCTCCAGGCTCTGAAACTCCAGGACGTGACTCTTCTTCTCTGAAAAGAGTAATTTTAACCTGTAAGGCTGCTTTCCTATCCTTATCTCCCCTCCGATTTTGAACTCCCGTTTTCCAAAGCGGCACCAGGCGGCAAAACACTCCGAGTTTCTCCAGTACAGCTCCCTGTCTCTCGACCCAACATGGTCCAGGGCGTTGCGCACGATCACCTCGGGCGGGAGCGCACGGTACCTGTAGAGGCCGTTCACTATCCTGCCTTTTTTGCCCTGGCTCACATCGGTCAGAAAGTTGTTCTTTATCTCAGCCCTGTGCAAGTGAACCACCTGGAAGTCCCCGACGTAAACAGCCCAGTGTGGATACTGTCCAGTGGCCACAAACTCCAGCAGGTCTCCTGGTCTGCACTTGTTCAGGAGACTTTCCGCAGAGTGCGTCGCGGTTCCGCTGTTTCTCTCGTACACGCACTCCTCTCGGTAGTAAATCGCGCACTCCAGCTCGTCCTGGGGGTCGAAAGGCTTCTCCTCATGGTTCACCGCGCGGTTGACCGATGAAAAGTGGTCCAAACGGTCGTCGTGGTCGTCATCGTCGCCGTCGTCGTTGGAGAAAATGTAAGAGACGCCGATCCGCGGTCCGTCGTCGTCCGGATCGAACCCATTTGGGTCCGACGTTGGCACCTCTGCGTAATTTAAATGCGTTAGTTTCTCCACCTGGTTCCCCATAAAGGTGAAAGGTGGATGAAGGGGGGACAAAGCCGAGCACACAAACAGGATCCACCTGTTCTTGGCGCACTCACTTCACCGGGGGAGGAGAGACGGAAGGAGGCGCCGGGCTGTTCGGTGTCTTAACTAAATCCAAAGCGGTAAAGACGGGCACCAATAATCCATGTCCGGCTGTATATATCCTCCAGATGAACACCAACTGCGCCCACCTGAACACAAACAAACAGGACAGTAGCTTAAACAACGACTTTAGCGCACATTGCAACACCCATCTGCAAGTCAAACTATTACGCGTAGTCTACATTCCCAACAGGTGTGACCTGACACACCTGTTGGTTCACAGTTTCCACGATACTCTCCAATATAACTACAGCTGTCTCTACTTTCCATACCACCTCCGTAGGCTATTGTACCACACAACGAACACTTCTGCTGTCATGTTAGTCTTTCTCAGAATCAGCCCGGTTCATTTCCTTCAGGTCAGTCCACAGTGTAAAAAAAAAAAAACTCTGTGGACAGCAGACGGACTCACCTGCAGTTCGGCTCCCGACAGCAGCTCTTCCTCACACGCTCCTGCTGTCACATCGGTGAAGTAAACAGTTTGAAACCTGCGCTGGCCGCCGCTCCTTCCTGTCTGGTAGGTAAGGCTGGTGCGTGGTTAGCTCGGCTCTACAGACCGTCTGTAGTATGAAGCGCAGAGGTTGTTGCAGCGAAACTCAGCCAGGATCTAGTGACTGCTGGGAGGTGTTGTCTTTTAAAGCGATAGTGCGCCTTTTGCCCTCATTTACATATCCTGTCTACTCTTTACTTCCAATAAGTATAAAAAAACATCTCGGTGAGATGTTTCCACTGCTGTTTGATTTGCATTAGAGATTCTTTTAAGAGGTTTGTTTAATTATTTTTAGGTTGTTTATTCAGCTGAAACAATGAATACTTAAATTAAATCAATACAGTTTTCTGCATTTTAAATGTTGAATAAACATATAATAATGTGGAGATATAGAATGTTTTAGGGATACTTTTTCTTTCCTTAAAACACATAAATATAGCCTAATATTAAGGCCACTGACCACACACACACTTAAGCCCATATGTGCTCAATACAGGGATTTTTCAAATGGAGGGGAATGGTCCCAGTGCACACAGTACATCTAGATTATACATCCATATATTTGAATTCACAAAAGGGTTGTAACAGTTTGTTGGGGCAAATTATAAAAACATCACAGCTTCCAGGAACAGAGAGCAGCAGACATGTTCTGTAAAAGGGAAAGAAAGAAAAAGAGTGTAGTCGGTGGTGAGGAGAGATGCATTTATGCAGGCTTTTTGCAGCCCTTACTCATGAAATTCTGTCTTTTGTAATCAACACTGTATAATTACTTTTAGACACAGAATATGTGTGAAATCCTGACTTTTACTTTAGGGTAAATGACAGTAAGCAACTGTGCACAACTGCTCAGTGAACCAGTCAATTATTTCATCATATCCATACTCAGAAAGTTATGCGCTATGATGAAATGAGGTTTAAAAGTGAAATAAGATTATAAAGTAAAATCTCTTTGGCAATTTACATTATCCCTGTACTGTATGTAGGGACTCGTGATGTAATTTGAGGATTAGGATCATAAATGCTTAACTATGGTTTCCTCCATCCTCTCAAGCACAAACTACCCTACAAAAATTGCTTTATTTGATCGAGTCAAATGTTCTGTAAAAGTGAGGGCATACATTTTCATTCAGTTAGTGTCCCATTGAACTCGAGGTTGCGTCATTGTAAACAACCGGACATAACTTTACACAATCAAATCAAAACTGACTTGAGTTATACAGTTCATTCTGTATATTAACTTTGCACTGGATTGTGCCTCCAAATCTCTTGAGCTATACAGATCTCCACATCACTAATGGCAGCTGGGATATCAAAAGAAAGTGATGGGAAGTGTCTCTGAAATGCACTAAATGACAGTAGATGTTTTTCACAGTAGAGATTTGGATTTGCAAGCACAGGTGTTATAATAGCACTAACAATGGTGCTGTTCCACACTGTAGACTGTGACAGTGTGACAGCATGAACAATACTAGGACCCTTTATTATTTATGTCTGTGCTTTTCTTACTGTAACATGTCAAAATGTTAGTGAGTAACATGAAGTATTTTTTTGTTTGTGCACAATTCACAGTACTGTCTTTAAAGTTGTGGTATCACTCGCAGTCTTAAACAACTTAACTATGGTTTAAAGGAAATCCATGACAGCTCCATATGAAAGGGTGTCAACAGCACAAGGAACCAGACTGGTCTTTTTTTTGACGGGAGTGTCAATCTGCTATTACCATCAAAAAGCAGCAGGAGACAAGCACGACACCTGGATCAATCCAGAATTTTGTAGCACCGGTCTCCTTCCTTTTCATCCAGCCTTGGCAATGCACTGCACCAGGAAGTGAGACTGTTCACTTCTAACCAAAGGTAAAATCCTCCTTGGACAAACCAGATATTGAGGCTTACAGTGTCTCAGGCAGCCATTACACCTACTTCTTGGAGCTTTTGAACAGATTAATGTGAATTCCAGATCAAACATAACCAGAAGAAAGCAAACATCTATGGGGAATTGATTTGGGTTTTATTATTTTTTTCTCAGCACTGCATGTCTGTACGATATTGTGATTGAATTCCTGCAGATATTTGAAGCTCTGCATCCTTCCAAAGGAACAGCTTTAATGGCTCTGCCTGTGATACGGTGAATGCAATGCTGTTGCGTTTGTGTGCACACTTTCCACAAATTGAACTATTGTCGGGAAATTACTTGTGACTTAACATGTTGTGCAGTAAACAAGATTAGATGTGCAGAATGGAAATTCAAAACGAAACAGAGTGGAGAAATGAATGAGTCAACATCAGCTGGATCATTTGTTGCCACTTAATATCTTCATTGGTGAAATGCTCTTAGTGCTGTGACGCACTGTTTGGAGGGAAAGCGCAATTAGAGATTTTCACAAATGCCTGATGCAAGGTTATTAAAAGATTAGCTTCACCTTGCTTCATTTCAGCATGCCTTTGTTTGTTTCTCTTTGGAACAAAGACCCTTCACAAGCAGCGAAAACAGGCAGGGAGAGATTTAATCACAAAAGTGCATTCCTGTTTTAAGGAATGGCTCGTTTATTCACATAACTGTTTTAGAGTAAATTCTTTTGCTATCTGCAGTATCTTACTTCACTTCTCTGCAGAAAGTTTTGTTTTTAAAATGGAGGCTCACAGGTCCCAGAAAGATTTCAACATTAAAATATTTAAATTCAGATTGTCTGTAAAGAACATATATATATATATATATATATATGCTCACTAGTCTGAAGCCTAAACTGAGCAGTTCCTGGATTTATGCCAGTACAACTGTAGTAATAATCCTACAGCATACCTGGAGTTTATAATCCACAGATGAAAAGTTCATTCTTCTGTTCTGGCTCTGCAGACTACATGAATCCCGTGTCCTCCTGCAGACACTGCTCTCTTGTGGTTTTGTCAATTTACTGCATCATGTAGACCGCAGCAACATATTTGAGAAATGACTTACCCACAATCCTAATTTAAGGTACAGGTTTGGATGGTTTTAATTCATGAAAAGGTCTGCAGCTTTTATTTACATTCCAACAAGACTGGAGTTCAGGAAAATGCTCCAGCTGGAACACAAACAATTCATCATTTTTAAATTCTAATTTAACTGGATGACAAAGTTTTCCCGAGGTACAAATCACATAAAATAAAAACATAGGTTAACAATTCCAGCACTGATGAAAACAATATTCCTTTGCTGATAAATAACGACCAAGGCATCGGTTTTTTGAGGAATGAGTCTGCCAACAAAAACATGATATATTATGTCCGGTTGGCCTGTCTCTTATGGGCCTGGATCTTTCTCCTCAGCATCTGGTCATGAATCAGGTCTGACTCTTTCACATCTGTGTTCCCACAGCCTACCACAGGACAGCTAGAGGACAGAGGAAGAGAGGGAAACTTAAAGGGTATCAAAACACACAACTATTATATACAACAATATTTGCACAAATGTGAGGAAGTATGTGTTTAAAGCAAATCTTTGCATTGATACTCTTTAAGACAAGTACAACAGCATTTTATCAGTCTTACACTGAATCAGAGTAAGGAAAACCCTCTCGAGTATTACTGCTTTGATTGTGCATGCATGGTGTGTGCACAGTGACCACAGTCGGGACTCAACAATAGACAAGTTTCTTTGACATCCACGTAGACCGGCACTGGGATTTCATCAGTGTTCCTCTAGGGAGCAGCCACATTTAATTTCATCCCAACATCAAAGCAGTACAATAAAGAAAATGTGAATTAAGGCAGACTGCTGGTCCCACGCCAGCCCGTCGAGTTGTTTACTGCTGTAAAACCTGACTCAACTTTCTAACAGCCCTCCAAGGGAGAGTGTCTTACCGGCACTTCTTTTTCTGGCTGTGTTTTGTTTTGATCAGGTTTTGTATGGCTCCTTCATCATAGTGGTGGTTACACTTCTTATTCCTCACCGGGTTCACCATTTCCACCTTGAACACAGACACACAGTGGTGTGTTATATAATGAAACACAATTTAGCTGCTAAAACATCAAATCAAACATTAAAACAAAATCAAAGTTCTTCATGTTTTGCTAATACTGAATTGCCAGAAATTAAGTAGCAATGTATAAAGATGGAAATGTTTTCAAATAAGAAAAAGCACTCAATGACAGCATGAATTATATAAAGTAAGGTAGAGTGGTCTACCTGTGTTAGTGGACAGGTGAAGTTGACTTGGCTCTGTGTAACAGCAATGTCCTCATCGAGCTCCTCCATGTTCTCTGCTGACTCTTGATTAGCTGAAAGAACGACAAACATACAATGTGTGTCCAAATAACTATATAGCAGCAAACACGGCCTTAACATAACACAGTTATGGACATGCACACACCAAAATCGACAACATCTAACACACCCACCCGCAGATAAACCATCTCCCTGTTTTAACCCATGTATAAAGTTGATCTATTGCTACAACAATCAAAGAGTCAAAGGTCATCCTGTGCTTAAGGTATTTAAAAAAAACTCTACATAACGCCTTCTTAAACTCTTCCAGGCGATGATGAGCCCACCTACGGAGTTACAGATTTTAATTTCAGCCTTTAAGAGAGTACAGTCTACGCTTCATAAAGTATCCCTAAATTGGAGCATGAGGAGCTCATTCAGTAGAGAATAAAGATGCCTGATGGGATAAGCCTTCACAGAATATGAAATTATCTAAAATAATCACTTGAGTTCACAAGGTTCGCACTTCAAAATATGTTTTCTCACACAATGAAACTTTGGGAGTGAGTCAGATTGGGAAAATAATATTGGTGCAATGGCAGTTTCACTTATGTTGACAGCACCTAAAAATGTGGCATTATCTGTGAGTGGCTACCTTTTTAATAAGGGGTGTAATAAGGACAACACTTTAAAAGCAGAAAACAAAACAGCTACAGGGTGGCCGACATAATTATTCAACAGTAAATTCTGCAAACTCTAGTGTGCTTGTTTGAAATTAAGCTAATTATCCCCCAAAAAAATAAATATGCATCACAAAATTTGTCTCTGTCCTTGTCTGAGAAGATCTCCTGTTATTATCAAAGTGTAATATAACATATATATATATACACACACACACACACATATACATATATATAATATATAATATATATATTGTCCTGAATACATTGCAATCAGTGCATGAATTCAAACTATGTCTGTGCACAGGCATTACCTTGGTTGAGAGAGTTACTGATGGTGTCCTTGAAGGCCACTACTTTCTGGTGATTCTGCAGCTCAGCGTCAGAGATTCTCGATATTCTCTCTGTGAACTGCTCCTTCACTCTGGCAGACAGGCTGAACATGGCCTCTGGCTGCTGTGTAGTAACCTACAGAAAATGAAGTAGGTTAGGTTATTTCCCTCTTCTTTTACAATTACAGTCAACTGCTTTCCCCGACATTTAAACTTTTGACTTGCCACTCCAGAAAAATCAGGCTGTTCTCACCTCTCCTGTGACTTGTTGCACAACGTCAACAAAGTAGTTAATCTCCCTGTCCAGCTTGGCACACTCCAGAATCATAGCCTCCATCTCTTTGATGCCAGGGTTCATATCTTTATCTGTAACACAGCAGCACACACAGTGATGGGGGAAGTAGTCAGATACTCCATTACATGTAAAAGCAGACAAAAGCTGGCTTGTGTAAAATAAAAACTGAAATATTACAAATGTATCAACAGTACTGACACAGATTGACCCTTGGAAGCATTATATTACCTTGATGATTCATTAGCATTGATGCAGCTGTAGTTAATGTTGTAGTTGTTTCAGGTGGAGCTCATTTAACTACTTTTTAAACTGCTGGGTCGTTTAATCTACACCAATGCATCATATTTATAAACTTATTATAGAGTTTGATAAAGATAAATTACAGCTATAGCTGCCATATAAAGGTAGTGGTGTATAAGGTGCAGTAACTCCCTAGTGGAGTTTTAACGTCAGTATAAAGTATCGATAGTAAGTATACTAATGTTAGCTAATGTAAAAATATACTTATTTACTTCCCAGCACTTTGAAAACACTTATATCCCTGGTTATTATGTGACGTTAAGTGAGACCCAAACATTAAAGCAGGGGTTTAAAGGAAACCAGTACAACCAGTGAGAGTATTCAGCATACTGGGAGCTTCTGATAGTTACCCTGCGTTTCCGCCAGGTCCATAGCCACATCTGTCACTATATCCATTCCCGTCCCGATGTCTGCCTGACACGACTTCAGGCTCGACAGTGTCCCGTGAACGGCGCTAAGAGACATTACTACAGATATCCTTGAACCTGTGAGAGCCCGCACACAACACACATCACCTACAGATCAGCTAACTGACGCTACGTTCACGTTAGCCTAGCTTTCTGACGTTACCTGCTACAGGTCTGGTTAGCTTAGCTAAGCTAACGTGCTACCGTATGAATATGAAGTAGCAGTGTCTTCATCGGTGTGTGTTTTTGTTAATGTTAGTGAGAAGTAAACAACAAAAAGTAAAGTTAAAGTAAACAAATCACGCGCGAAAAATAAGTACAACTACGGATATGGTTATGGTCTGACTTCCGTTTTTGTTTTGTTTTTCAAAGTAAAAGCTTTGACCAAAAGAGCTAAACTCAACTGAAGGGGAATAAAAACAACATATTATGAACAATCATTTTTATTAATGAAATTCATTAGGCAATGGCACAAAGTGACAATATACAAAGTTTGCAAGTTAAGTCATAGGCAATTTAATTTTATTATCTATGTACAATCTATTATTAGTGCATTAAGACATTAATGGGCAATGAAATGTGTAAGTAAACTATTCAATAGGCTTTTTTCATGAAAGACACTGAAGCGCAGCTTTAAATCATAAAATGAATGAAGGCAAAACTCCATTTAGCTGCTTTCCTTCGCTTCAGGGTCCTGGAATTGTGCAACCTAGATTACTGTCACACACTGACATGGCTTACAGGAACACTTGAAATGAACAAAGCAAGCATGTATGTAACACCTCCTCTTCTCCCACTATGACAAGATCAAATGTCTGCAGTGAAAAAAGCCTAACAAAAGTATAATTGTCTAATGAAATGCTTTATCCAGATCTTCACAGTATTGTTCTGAACTCGTCAAAAATGAAACTGGGCACATGGGCTTCAGCCACCTTGAAAATACAGAGAAAATAAAGAGAAATACAAGTTAGTATCCCACATCCCGCAAGACATAGTGCTTAAAAATGTCTATAGTTGTGTCTCATTTAGGGCATGGTGCTATATGGTTAACCATTTCTTACAGCGGAAAGGTATTACATCTGTATAACAATACAGCAGCTAAACATATTAGGGTAGAATCATTAGAAATCAAAGCTCAGGTTTATGTAAAATGTTGTCATTTGGCACATTTTATACATGTTTTAACATTATAAGCAGCTTACTCAGGTCAAAGTTGTCCTACCTTGCGTGACAGTTTTGTGTACTTCACATAGTCCTCCAGGAACATCAGAGCCCCCACCACATCAGAAGGCATGTCAGGGATCTTCTGACTACGATGGGATCAAATAGAAACTTGAACATGAGTTCATAAAGCCATAACAGGATACATTTCATAAAAGTACTCAGATCAAGCAAACAAAAAGGGAAACAATATCTATACTAAAAACTACACAAAAGAAAGTGGTACTACCACTACTGGTACTATTACTGCAAAGTAGTCAAGTCTCATTTGTTACCTTGTGCACTGCTCCATGATAGAGCGGATGAACTGACCAATGAGAGCCATGAACTGATGTGTGTATCTGGAGTGGAACTGCTTGAGCAGGGTGAGCAGGCCGAGCACTAGAGGAGGCCAGTCCACTGGGTCTGTGGCTTTCCTGCACGTCATTCCTGGAAAAACACAAGACATCAGCCGTGAGGTTATTTACATGTGGATGCAGCCTTACATATCAGTAAGTCTGGCATACTGACGGGACACCAAGAATCTGTTGTGCTCACATTAGTTAAACCATCCTGATCCAATCCATCCTACAAATGATTGCTTTTATGTGTCATGAATATATACAATTTTAATTGTGTTCAAATTCAAATTTATGAAGTGATACAAGCTCTGTGCTTACACACAAAATCAATCACAGAGGGAGACCATTGTTGCCAACTTGGCGACTTTCTTTTCAGTCTTTCTCTCACTCTAATCTCTGGATTAGGGTGATTCTATAGCCTTTAAATATGCAAACTGTTTGTTTAACCTTCCCTCTTGCTCTTTCGCTCCGGATGTCTGGATTAGGGTGTTCCTATAGCTTAGCCTATATGTAAACAGCTTGGGTTTGTGATTATTTGGCTAAATAATAATAATGTTCAAAGTGTGTGTATATAAATTTCCTTCACAGTGTACCAGGTATCAGAAACAGATTTGAATTTACACTGCAGTTTTCAGTGACGCATTTATTGATGTAATATAGTATATACTTATAAATAAACAATATAGTTATAAGTAAACAAGAAACACTCACTCAACTAATGACTAAAAGAATTATGAAAACTGATTGTGAACAAACACCTAGGGTAATATCAATTGTTTATTCAGATATAAGTGCATGGAACAACTTCCATGGCAGACCCGAGCAAGTGACGTAAAGCCAGTTGCAGAGACAAAGTTATGAAACTTATTTAATTCGGGACAATTGTGGGACACTGAGGAAAACTTCATTTTAATTTCATCAACAACAGTACAATAAGTGATGTAATATAGTAAACTGAAAACAACTTGCCTTGGTTTTTGCTGTACTGAAGTTTAGGCAGCTGTGCAATAATAAACAGGAAGTTGATGATGGGGAAGTAAGGTAGGCGCTTTGTGGTGATGTAGATCTGTGACAACCATAAATGGAAGGAAAATGGTCAGAACATATTGTGCAATGTCTAAGCACATAGAACAGAAAACAGAGAAAGTCTGTAAATATGACTTAATATTTGTCCAACACTTATCACATTGTGTTGGAAGCAACAGCCATAATCTCCCGACCTTGTTGAGTGGGTTGTGAATGCCGGCAGCCTCCAGGTGGGCAGTGATGTCATACAGAAGAGTGTTATCCTCTTTAGGGTAGGGCAGGGATGGATCCTGGTAGTGAGCTTCAATGTCAGCCAGCAGAGATCTGGAAAGGTCACAATAAGAGTTGACATATGTTAAATTTTAGAATTACAGCAATAATTATTTATCAATTAGTAACAGGTTTATTTTGCTAAAACTAGCAAAATAAATGATAGGAATTAAATATGTATTTACTGTATTACCTACATATGTACTGAGTCTAAAGGCAACACACTATGAGTATCTCTTGATACTGAATACAATTACAGAGATGTAAGTGGTACAGTATGCTCTGAGGACTGACTTGTTCAGGTTTTCCAGAGCAGCAGCCAGGTGTTTGGAGTCAAACTTGCAGGAGTAGTTCAGCTCATTAGCAATCTGCTGTCTGAGAATCTGCATCTGACCCACCTACAACAAACGCAGTGCAACATATAGAAGAGGGGAGGGGGGCATTAGAAAAAGATTAAAGATTTGAAACACAATTTGAGCTCATTTTCAAATAACGCACATCCCATGAACATGAAGTTATTATTTTCTATTCACAACATTAGAGAATATCAGATACCTTCATGATGGCCTCCAGATATGCACCCCAGATCTTCTGAGTTTTGGCCACAGCATTAGCGTACACTTTGCTGGCATTAGCTGTTGCAGAAAAATAGATAAGATTTTTCTCAAGGAAAAAATAAAAAGATCCTGTCAGGTTGTAAGAGTTCCTAAATAAATACCTACCCACAATGCCCTGGACTGGGTTGACAGCACCCAGCATAGCTTTAAAAACATCCACCACAGCTTTGTCCCTCAGGATGGTCTTCTGAAGCATTGTCAGGAAGTTCTGATGGGAAAAACAGGTTGCTAACAGCGCAAATATATTCAGGTGTACATACCAGGTGCACTGAACATACTATAAAAGCCCTCACAGACCTGGAAGCACTAATGTGTCAGCTGTTTATTTCAGTAAGACCCTGGTGGTAGCTTTGTTGCACAGCCTGAGACCTTTTTGTACACTAATTACCTGAAGTTCCTTTACTATCATGAAGCAGAGCAGGCGGTCTAGTCCATTAAGGCCAAATGTACCCAGGGTGTTCTGGATCTCAGAGAACAGCCTGTTGTTGGTGACCTCCTGGTGGCTCTTTAGGTCGTACCAGGTGTTCATCTGGTCGATGTAGCACGTCACCCTGTAGAAAGGACCCATGTTTGTCAGGGAAGCTTCTAAATACTGCAAGATTCAGTGTCTACAGATATGACCAAACTTCAAAGATTTCAATAACATACTTGGGATCAGTGATTCGTAGGATCTCTCTGCAGAGACGACCAATGAAGGTAGCAGACTCATCCACAGAGGGAAACTTCGGGATGGGGATGTGGGTGGACTGGTGCACACTCTGCCAGTCCTGGATCTGATTGGAAGCAAGGAAAGAACCAATCAATCAACTCCCGTGACTGACATAGGCAAACAACCAGAGCATCTTGTATTGATTACAGAAGGATGAACTGATGTCATGCATTATTCAGGGATGTGATCAGAAACAGCAAAAATCACGCTACTGCATTGATCCAGACCTTTGCCCTGAGGAAGCTATTGCATTCCTGTTCCACATTGTAGTTGATGATGCGGGATACTTCCTCCTGCCAGATTTTAAGGCCATAAATGCTGACGTAGTCCTGGATGTACTCAAACGACCTGTAGAACCCATCCATGGTGGCCGCCATGTCCTTCAACTTGGGCATCAGCTCACTCAGCTAAGATAGTGGAAGATTGTTGTTTAGTCTAATCTTTTCCTTTTTCACTACTGTTATCCTTGATCTTATTTTTTTCCAAGGCTTTATATATAGTCAATCAAAATATAAATTGTTGCCGATCTGATGTCTGACCTTAGCCTTGGGGTTGAAGATCAATCCCTTGTGCAGAGCATAAGCTACCCTCTTCACCAACTCCTTCCTGATGCCATCCTCCAGTAGTTGCTTAGGATCCACCTAAAACATTGCACGTGTTAATAAAGTAAAATCCACTAAAGGAAGGGTGTTTTAATAGTCTATTATCATCATGCTAAAAGTAAAAGTAGAAAAGTCCAAATAACTGTTCTAATCTTCTACCTTAATGATCCCAACTAGAGTGGTCTTCATCATCAGGATCCCCTCGGTGAAGATGGAGATGTCATGGGTGAGTTTAGCCACCTGTAATCACACAAAGCATGTTTAGGCACACAATTGACAGACAGAATCCAGGGAACCTTAAATTAAATCAGTAAAATGACAAAGTATTATGATAAGCTAAGTTTCAGTTTTTATAAAAAGAGATGAATGCCAGCAGACATCGTATTGAATAGTATAAACAGACATATGCCGTGCTGTTTTGTTTTTAACTTTAAAATTGAAAATAAAATCAAAAGTTAAACTCTAAAACACTCATATTTAATTCCAGGGCACTTGACTGCATTTCAAAATATGCAATTTCAATATCAGCCTGACAAGTTCTAATTAATGTAATTGAAGTAAGTCTTTGCCTGCACAATCTATTTCCATATCGAGCCTTCTTTTCTAATTTATATTTCACATCAAAAGCTGCGAGCGAGATTGAAAAACGTTCAGAAATCCCAGCCAGTATGATTGCCTCACACTTACACACAGCAGATGAGTCGACATCAAAACAGACCAACTTGAAGCCTCTCTTTCTGCTTTTGATTTCTTTTGATATCCATTTCATTACTTCAATGACATTCTGAACAATACTGCAAAAGCTACATGCACATTACAAAGTGTGACTGTTTCAGAAACACAACAGTTGTTTTACTTCATAGCGAGCCCCGAGCTGGGAGTAGTCCTTTAGCTTGTCCTTATCTAGCCGTGTGGGCACCTCCATGATGTCATGGATCTGAAGCTTGATGATTTTGGCCAGAGAGGTGAACATGCTCTCGGGGATGATCTGCAGCACCTGGAAACAAGAAGATAAAATACCCAAACTGAGTACCAACATAAATCTTATGTATGTTTGGTACACAATGCTGCAGATGATGTGTACAGCTGGGAGGAGCAAATCCTCTGGCGTAAAGTAACACAGCATGTGGTTGATGAAACCAGAAGGTAATAGCATCTTACGGCACACATCCACTAAGTAGCTGTTTTTGGAGAAATCTACCAAACAGATGGTTGTAGAGACATTAATCACGACTGCAGCTGTTACTGAACCATAATTTACAGCATGCAGAGTTCATGTGTTAAAGTTGAGAAACCATTTTAAAAACATGTTCATTGCCACAGGAAACGTCACAGAAAGTGTCCTCTCTGCTAAACACTTTTAGATACAGCGGCTTCTTTTGTAAGATCATTGGTTAAAACATGAACACAATTGTAACACAATGTACCTTTCTGACGTAAGCCACCAACTCCCCAGAGTAGAACTGTGAGACACTCAGCAGGTCGGCACTGTTGGCCTGGTTGATACGCAGCAATGGAAGGTCCAATGCAGATGCCAGCTGGTTACACACACACACACACACACACACACACACACACACACACACACACACACACACACACACACACACACACACACACACAAGAATCAACATCACATTTAATAATTCTTCCAATCAAGGCAGAGTTATCAGGGTTGCCACTCTTTTGTATCAAATAATTTTGAGATGATGGGGTGTATAAAGTTCAAGTTCAGAGATTATAGTAGGCTGTATCCAAGCACTTTTAAGGACCCCTTCATTGTTCAGTAAATCCAAGAACTTTCAAGGTCTTGATTTTATTTTTTATTTCAATTACTTTCCAGACCTGTTACTGGAATCATTTATTAATTGCTATTATTTCTTTATGTGTGAGCATGTGTGCATTTGTTTTGATAGTCCTCACCTTCAGAAATGTAGCTCTCAGTTTGGTAACCATGGACGGGTTGACTCTGATGCTCTCCTGCATTATTGATGTGAAGCTGCAGAGTAAGACAGAAAAACTGTAACTTCAAAAAAGATAGTGGGTTAAATAAAACTCATTTAAAAAAAAAAAAAAAAGACATTTTCCCAGATATTATAAAGGAAACTCCTTTTGAAACTTACCTATACAATAGGTTATGTACAACAACTAGAGGATTAATGTTCTCTATATACGGTATCATTACTGGCAAATTAGCTGTATTCATTTCCACAAAACATAGGTTTCAATTAAATGTACTCCATAGAGCATATTACACTCACGTAAGGTTACATAAAATGGACAGCAAGATTTCTCCCATGTTCCAGAGATGTAAAATGATAAAATGTGATCTCCTACATATGCTTTGGAGCTGCCCAGTTATAGAAGAATCTTTGAAACATAGTATTGCATTAAACTTAAAGACAATAGCATCTCAAATTTGGCAGGATCCAAAACTACGGATAGTGGAGGACATAAGCAAGTATTTTATTTTACTCGCTAGCACTGCAGGGGAAAAAATGCAATATATACAGAATTCTGCCCTCTTTGAAATCAGCAGATAAAGAGCTGAACAGACTCTGTCTCTGGCTGACCATGTGATCTGTCACTATCTACACTACTGAGGAGGTTCTAAGAGGAAATAATGATTACAGTGGAAACAAAATATGCCAGAAAATCAGTTATTAATATGACATTTAAATGAACTGTGTAGCATCAAAGCTTTATCAAAGAATAATTTTTGCTTTATTTATGGTTACTTCACCATCTTCTTCTCTACCAGTGTTTTAATGGCTTTAATGATTATCAGTACCTGTCAATTATCTGCCATGCGTAGGAAAGGTCTCCAACTATCTGCATGGTAATGAGGACTTCTTCTTTTATATTGATGGTGCGGATCATTTGGTGCAGGAACTTCCTGGTGTCAGCCAGGAACTGACAGACCTGCAGGTTAGACTCCAACTGGTGGAACTCCTGGACCTGAACGCAAAGAGAAGAACAATTTTATTGACACACATATCTGTACTGAAAACAAACAACACTGCAAACACATATCTGTATCCAAGGATTGTAGGCACTCGCCCATTTTCTTGATGTTTAAAAAAACAATTCTGCACTGGCATTCATTAAATTCCTGGCTCATGAGGCTAATTCTGTGCTGGCACAGAAGACGGTACCCACTGACTAGCTAATTGTGTAAACAGTTATCAGTGGCTATGTAAATAAACATAACCTAGTGTTTGCAGTTTTTGAAAATCATATGTGTTCCATTTCTAGTTTTATAATAGACCGTGGCAGGATTGACAGGAGAAAATGAAGGTTTTTACAATCCACTGAGGCAACAAGACATTTCTACAGTACAGTCTGATATGTCTTTATTCCTATATATGTCATAGCAGTTAATTTAGTCTCTTTGTTTTACCACCGTTTCCATATATTGTAATTTCAGATTCCCTTATTTGGTATATGTATGAAACTAGGGCAAAGTACCTCTGAATCTGCAAAACAGTATAAAAAGATTCAACTCATGCTATCAAATTCTAACTCTTAAATCAAAAGACACCCATGAAAATTGAGCAAATCATAAAATCAAGTGCTCTGGATCTGTGATCTGCACTTGCGCCATATTGCGATTTTGATAACATTTAAATAAAAAATGCAGGCTTTGTTAAATGTAAAGCCAGCGTGAAATCATCATTGTCTTGCTCACCTCAACAAGAGCCTGTATGAGCTGAACTGTCTTCCTTCCAGCAGCTGTGGAGTCTTCATAGTTCAAAGACTCAATCTGCTTTGAGATTTCTCTGAACCAGGCCTGTAAGTTCTCTGTAAGGAGTAATAGAGGTGTTGTAGTACAAGTGGAGAGATAATGTTATCAAAGCAGTGGTTAAGAAAGATGGGCCTCGCTACTGGAGCTATAGTCGCAGTAACAGAAGAAAGAATGACTGATGTAATTGTAATTTGCCTCCCCCTGCATGTGTGTCCTTTGTGCGTTTCTTCCATGAGATTTCCTTACCTCACCATTTTTCTCTGAACCGCTTCAAGCTTAAAACTCATTAAAGCATTTGTGTTCCAACACTGAAATAATCCATGGCATTCAAAGCATGAAACACTGCATGGCTGAGGCTCTTTTTAGTCAATACCAGTTCTTTCCTTCATCTTTTCCACCCCAACAGCGTAACTCACCATTTTTCTCCACCCTGGTCAGAGGTTTGACGCCAGAGAAGACTTCGGCCAGCTCGGTCATTCTCTCTGATCCCTCTTTCTTATAGCTCTCCCATTTGATCTGCTTCTCTGACAACATCTGCTTGAACATCTGGAAGAGGGACAGCACAGATGCTGAGTCGATGAGGAAGGATTAGTCAGATGAGATGTGTAATGAGAACATTAAATTTGTGTCCTCTCCTTGTGATAGACTGGCTGGCCATATGCTGTCTCACTACCTGCTAATAGACGACAGAGGGGACAAACCTAACGAGTAACACAGTTGGCTGGATCGCTTTGGAATTATTCTGCCATTAATTTCACACTTTCACTACAAAAGAGATACGTCCAGTATGTTGCTTGTTTTTGTCCATATTTTCCCAGTCATCACTCACATTATCGAGTATTGAAGAGAGACTCTCACCTCTTTGAGTGTGAACTCGAACTGAGCAGTGTCTAGCAAGAGCTGGAACAGGATCTTACGGTTGTACTTGGAGTCGTTGAGCACTTGCTCTTTGATCTGACGCAGTCGCTTGTTGTTCGGATCGTAGGCTGTAAGAAAATGACTAATTTGAGTAAACAAAAATTAAAAACCTAGTTTTATTAACATCATATAAAGGTAAAGTCATGAATTTGGAAGTGTGGGGCTCCTTAGAGAAAATAAAACATCACAAGAGAGACAATATCTGTTCTTCTCCAAGCTACATTGTAGCAAAAATTGGCCCAATATCCTCACCTGACTCTGCAGAGTGCAGCATCAGCCAGCGGATAGCTACATTGCAGTCCCTCAGACAGTTGAGTAGTTTGGGAATGTTGTCCAGGATGATCTCCTCCCTGAGGAAACCTTCCTTCAGCAGCTGCTGCACCTGAGGCCTCAGACTTTCCATGCTAGCTGCATATCGAGTGGCCTAAATACACAGTGATCATGGTGGTTGGGAGAGATATGGTTAAAAGTATCTTTCATCTTGGACAATAAATTATTCATTTGCTCCAGCTAGTGGCCATTAGGAAACAAGGGAATGTTTGCAGATGACACACTAACAAGGGGTTGTTCAGTTGTCTCCTCCTGCTGAGGAGTGCAGAATTCTTCTAAATATAATCTTTGTTAACCTTACTTTAATTTGAGCTCATGGTCACTCACCATCTTTTTAAAAAACTTTTCAGGACAAGTTTAAAGCTGAAATGTCTTTCTAAAGTCACTGATTTGATTAATGCTCCTGTGTGTCAATTAGATTTTGCACAGTCACATTGGATGACTTACAAATTCTGCAGACACAGTTATCAGTATCTGCATACAATAGCGTGCCACACTGAAGGACTGTAAAATGACAACGCTGGAGGCTGTGTGACATTGAAGCCAATTCAAAATGTATAATACCTGCTCTTTGATGTTGGCAGAGTCCAGAGTGTAGTTGAGAGCAGTCTTGGCAGCTTTGTATGGTTCCCAGGCCTCCACCAGGTTTACTGTGATCCCCATGTAGATACTGATAACCTGCAGACAGATAACACAATCACTTCAGTACAACATTCACAATAAAAAAAACTGAGACAAAGTAAGATAAAGTGCATGCCATAACATTCCATAAAGTTGTTTACATTCATTTGTTATCTACCAGCCTGACACTATCAATGCAGATTAATCGTACAGGACGTACAATCAACAATCCTAACGTATAACAAATGTCTTACCCAGTTGTCAGGGAAGTACTTGTCCACTATCTCCCTCATCTTGGCTTGCTGGGTGTGCAGTATGGAGGGGCTGAAGTAGAGGCAGACATACAGCATGGCTGCCTGGTTAGCCAGCGCTGTGCTACGATGCTCTGGTAGAGGGTACGCAGACACCTAGTGGACAGGAAGAGAAATGTGATTTTTGGTCCAGGGCATGAGATTTGACACAATCTATACCCACTCAAGTTGTAACAGCCTCATAAAAGCTCTCACAAAGAGCTCATTTTGGTTTATTAAAAGTTCAAATTTATGTTTAATCAAATGTTTTCGCACTTGGTTGTATATGTCGTCTGAGCGCAGCCTCCCAATGACCATGCTAATAAAAGTGGTACTGATGGGAACTCTGTGGAAGTAGCTCTCAGGGTAGTTGGCTGGTCGTTTGGCTCCAGGCTGACTGGAGTAACCGGTACTGCGCAGGAGCTTGCAGATGTCATCCAGGTTGGAGTCGGCTGATGAACGAGCAGCACTGAAGGGAAGTAGGAAACAATATCAAGACTGAGGCGAGTGATGAAAAAAAAGTCAGGTGTCACTTCTTGGGATTAACACTGGAAAAGCATATTTTGCTATTTGAAGAATTATGCTATAAAGGATTAAAATGATCAATTCGGCATGCTCCTGTGTGTATCCTTAATACATGTGTGCATTTCTCTGGCATTACACATAACACACATCTACTGATTAACAACATGTTCGTATGTCCTTCAGATACAAACATGCTGGCATTATATTAAATATAAATTCATATTTTAATGTAAAATAATGACTGAGAGGCATAAGGAGAGATAACACGAGGTCAGGTACACCAAATATAAGGGTCACTCTCAAATATTTTAAACAAATGCACGTATGAGTAAAGTGACTCATATTTGCTGTGAGCAAGCTCAATGGCTAACAAGTGTTAGCATATTGAGTGTGTGAGTCAGCGAGAGAATGTGTGTGTGTGTGTGTGTGTGTGTGTGTGTGTGTGTGTGGGGGTGTGTGAGTCACAAGTGCACCTGTATCTATAGTAGGAAACAAGCATCCTCTCTCTGACCTCCCCTTCAATCTTTTGGTCAATAACCAGCAGCATGACTCCATAAAGGTAGAGAGCTTCACACTGAGTGGAAAAGAAAATATACACAATCAACTTCTGTAGGACTTTTAGATTTTTGAGTTTAATCTGTAATTATAAGGGCAGGGCATTGAAATCAATGTCCCTGTAATGTTACAAAATATAAACTGATTTGCATTTGTGTTACTTACTAAAAGCTGTTTCCCATCCTCATTTAGAAGCACAGTCTCCAAGGTCTGCTGAATATAAACACCCTCATGTAGGTCGTCCAAATATCTGAAGAGAGGAGAAAATAATATAATAACGTCTTGTGATATAGTCTTAATCAGGTTTTGTGGTTTACAAGGGAGAAAATGGGGAGGGGGTGTGTATCAAGGTCATGGACTATTACCTATTTCAACTTAACATGTTTTCATATTCTGAAAAACGTACTCCTAAATTAACTGAACTGAAAGTGAACTGAAAGTGAACTGAAAAACAAAACCCCTAAACATCCCGGTCCTGTCTCACCTGTTAAGATCCACTATATACTTGTGGACACTCTCAAAAGCCAGATAGAACCTCGACAGAATCTCAATGTTGTTCTCTCTAAACTCTTCATCCAGGTCTTGAAGCTCAGGTTTGGCTTCCAGTTTCCCATCGTAATACTCTGGACCCTGGCAAAAAGACAACGTCTTAAAAAGTGCAATCGATAATCAATCAATACTCCCAACAAATGGGACTAGGTAGAACAGCTGTTCCAATAAGAAAGCAATTATTTTCATAAATCAAAACAAAATGTTTGTCTATGTTCTGATTCTGAACGCTTGGAAAAGTCACACACAAATATGCAGTTATTACAACGGAAAGAATATGATCTCCACCTCCCATTACTTAAACAATTACTTAAATACTGACTACATCACTATGACCATACATCATGTGCCTACTAGTTTCCTCAAGTCTACAAAATATACATGTAACTACGCCGTCACTTCAGCATTTGTATGTTAAGCTTTGGCCCGAGGGTGAGACCGGTGTAGCTGCTTCATCAAGGCCAGAAAGGTCAAATCCATACCTTAAAGTAGCTGAAGTCACAGATAATGTCTCCATATTTCTGCTGGTCACTCTTGTCTTTGAGCCTGAAAACTGCAGGGATGAAGTCAGACAGGCGCAGGAGCTCAGCAATGATGGCATTTCCTCTAGAAACTATCCTGAGGATGGCCTGGCCGCACAGGTTGTTTTCTGCCAGGAAGTCCACCATAGCGGCTGGAGGAAGAGGAAGAAGAGGAGGAGGAGGAGGAGGAGGAGGATGCACAAAACAGCTACACCTTGACCCACTGCCTGGATACTCTAGCTGAAAAGAGAAAGGAAGCATGACTTTTCAGTACTCGTTCCAAACATCATGCACAAATGTCTTTGAGTTAGACACTTAATCTCTGGTCCTGGGTTCTGACTCCTCCCAGGTAACTAATAGCTTACTACATCAGTATTAGCTACCTAAACCTAGCAGATACTTAGCATGCGAATAAAGCTGTTCCCCCCGGAAATACAGTGTTACAAGCATTGACTCACTTAATTGTGTTAACGTCAGTCCTAAAATGTCTGTAACATTTTTAATACTCTAGGTTTTTAATTTTCCAGTTCTCTTGAAGTCACATCCAAACACATAGAAAACACTCGTTTAGCTTTGAATCAAACTGTAGTTTGGTTTCTGAATGGAAGAATCTGAGGACTGCAGTTATTTGATGATCCTGCATTAGCTAAGTGTTAGCTCTTTCTATTGCCACCAGGCTAACGTTAGCCTACAGCCTGCTAACTACTTTTATTAGCCTCGACGTTGCAGACGACAATACACGAAAAGATGCCAAAAATATCGCGGTTAACTAACTTTTTACGACTGGGTGATTTAATTTATACAGACACAAAAAGACATAGAAATATCCTTGCCTCTTTGGGTCCTCTCTTCTCTGTTTACTTCCTCATGACCAACCACATGACTCTGACGCTGGGGGTGTTTGTTTATAGTCCTTCAGCGCGCCGGAGAAGGGCGGTAACAAGTATGGCCCACGCTCTGCCTTCCACCACCTAAAGTAAATTTCCTATTTTTTTAATTTAGCTTTTTTATTTCGATAGACCTTTAGACATCATTCACTGTCTGCTACCTGCTAAACCAAAGATGTTTATATCCAGAATCACTGAGTAAAGTGGGTCAGCTGAGTTTAAGCAGGTATACCTCCACGGTGTAAAACCCACTTAGGTGTACATGTTTCTCTAGATGGCGACAGAGATCCACTATTTCCTCAGTTTATCTATCTCACTGCTGCTCCACCACACCAGGCTCTGTGAGTGCAGATTTCTGGCTCCACAGGGATGCAGTGATTTGCAGGGATCGGGTAGTGAGAATATGCCTGAACTGAAATTAAACCAACCTACTGTGGAAAACCTCAGAGATAAATCCACAGGGAAGAAATATAACACCCTACAGCCTTCAGGCAACAAATATCCTCTTAAAATACATTTTCTCGGAGGCCTCTGAAGGGACTTTCCTCTACCCTAACAGCAAACCACTCATTTTTCATCATCTCTACAATAAAAATCTATTTGGTTGGCGAAATAATGAACCTTCCTTGAAAATACTAAAGTCTACCACCCACTGTGTCTGACATGGCTGAAAAAAAACTGACAACCTGCATGACCAACATGTGGTCATCATGGGTGAATAAGCATAAGCCCTTGTGTTTCCTTCAAAAACTGATTGAATTGGACTTTTATTGCCAATAATTCTAACACGCTGGCAGGCACTTCCTTTAACCAGTGTGAGCCAGAGGTTAATAACCAACATATGGAGAGAGCTGTTTGTTTGACCTGTCACCTTTCTGCTTGGCAGAGCGCAGCTTCATCACAGTCTTGAACCAGTTGATGCCTCTGTGTGCTGTAGCAGTAGATTGTCTGTCCACTTCATTCAACGTTTAAATTGTAAGTCTTTTGATACAACACTGCTGTAACACTTTAATTTAATTTTTGATATGCAAAGTTTTCTTTGCTTCAGGGTATTTTTTGCAGATTATCCTCAAAACCCTTTTACTATATTCATTAGTGCAGAGTGGTGATTGACAGGGAACTAGGAGACAGAGGGTGTGACATATAGCAAGGTTAGCTGCGTTTAAAGTCCTGAATGACGTGCTTCTTATCTTGCTGAGCCACTGGAGCACCATTATTTCAATGCATTTTATAGTGGGGACAAGGGAGAAAGACAGACAGGAGCAATTAAGATTCATAGCCTGCCACCTCATTGACCCGGCTGTCCACAAACTACACAACTGTGTCCCTGCGGCCGCTGGATTTATTATCCGTTTACCATCACACCAAGGTCACATTCTCAGCAGCACCAGGGTCAGCTATATGGGCTTCCTGGGAAGCATCATGAAAGGTTTTCACTAATGAGGTCTCTTAATACACACTTTCTTTATTAACCTTCTGGTGCCTTAAGGGTTTTCTCTTCTTGTTATCATGATTGGTCTTTGTAGAATCTCTTATGAGAATAGTTTTTATTGGAAAACACAAAAAAAATGTTTGTGATAAATCAAAAGCCCATGCAGGTAAAGGGCACTATATATACCCTCCTGGGGCTTAGCGGTCACATACGTGGACAGCACCTTTTAGCTCTTATGTCCACAATTGTGTTCACTGCTGAATTGGGGGTGTTATGGTACGTATATGGGGTACTTACACTACCATATGGTGGTGTCAGAAATTTCTAACACACTACGGTGCCACTACGGTGCCAATTCAAAATGGCGGGAAAATTCAAGTGGTCGCTCCATACACAAACGCCGACCAGGTAAGAAGTTCTGACATATTTCATGGCTTATTCTGATTTAGATATTTATAAAAGCCTTGTACATTTGTCATGACATGCAAATTTGAAAAAAAAGTGTAAAAATAGCAACTTTGTAGGTCGCTAAACATGATGTACACATAAGTGTACTTACGGACTGATGCTCCTCAAAACTAACATGCTAGCACACATGTAAAATAAGAAAAAAGCTAACTCTGGTGCAGCTAAAAAGCTGTACATGGTCCCAATGAAATAAATAACAATTAAATCACTAAATACATACATACATACATACTTAAATTAGTTGGTTTGAAAATGTTAGTAAAAATGTGCACATGTAAATTAGCTTACAGCTAACTCTGGTGTAGCTAAAAAGCTGCATATTGTCCCATTGGAATAAATAACAAATAAATAATGCAAACCTACATACATAAATTAATTTGTATTTGATTTTGTCATGTTTTTATTTACGGAGCGTTTTTCTGTGCAAAGAGCATTGGAGCTACCCCCTTTTGGTCGTAAAATCAGCCGTCCCACTCGGGGCTCCTCACAGTACACCGAGCTAAACGAGGGTGAACGTACGACTCGCAAAACAAAGGTGGCAGCGTCCGTATTGACTACATTGGTCGTTTTAATGTCGATTTTAAATGCTCCTACACACTGTTTACATTGCTGCTTTAGTCCGGTCACCAGTTTATGCATTGCACGGTGTTGCTGTGAGTTCAATACAATGTAAAGTTTTGTTTTCTAGCTGGTTTGCTAAATAGGCTAATGTAGCTAACAATAACACTAGCCTGCCACTGGAGGCCCCTGGAGGCTCGAGACAAACGCCACAGCACTTGTTGACATTGAAATAGGCGAAAATGGCAAAATATTATTGAAATGTAAGACTTGCAATAACGGAATTACTTGAAATGTTAGTGTTTCTGACAAATGGAATGCTATAAGTGGTACAAGCCAGGCAATTACATCACGTTCTCGCGTCAGAGCAACTCGGGTGGGGGATTTACGAGACAAATGGATCGCACCATAAGTCACATTCCTCCTCCAACTCCTCTCCTCTCAGACTCTGTGAAGGTCAATAATCAGGTGACCTCTGGGCCTCTGTAAGCAGGCCTGGTCCTTCAGTCCTCAGTGATCGCAGCCTTTAACATGTTCCCTTTTTTACATTACCAATTAGAGGTGGGCGATATATATCGTTTGCGATAATATCATCATCGTTGTTTTGATGATGTGCAAATTATGTCCATTATTGAGTATTTAAATTACTTCGCCAAAAATATTTAAACGCACGCGGAAACTCCTCACATCCACTTAATACACGGTGCAGCAACGCTCTCTACAGCATGGCAGGATTCAGTCACACGACTAGTGATCAGGTGACCTCTCGCTAGCATCCTCCTTGCAACAGTTTAGCAGCGCGTTGTGATGGTAGAGAGAAAATGCAAACACCTCCAGTCCCTGAAGCTACCGGTACTTCAGATGATTTAGTGCCGAGACGTGGGTCTACCTCTCTGGCATGGAAATGGTTTGGTTTCGAAAAGACTGATTAGGGTCTGTGTCCACCAAACACGTTTTTAGTGCTAGCAGCGCCTATTTTGAATACAAATCCTATGGGCTTCAGCATTCAGAGCGCTAAGCTCAGCGGTAAAAAGATGTCAGCGGAGACGTTTTTTAGCGCAGCGTTCAGAGCGCTTCAAGTTGAAATCTTTACAACTTTTAACGCTGCTGGGCGCTCGGAAAATGAGTTTTTGAGCGCTCCCAGTGCTAAAAACGCATTTGGTGGACACAAGCCCTAACTTAGACAATTCCAATCACAAGGATATCGACTGATTATCGTTATCGCCAAAATCCCCAAAAATAACGAGATATTATTTTTTGCCCATATCGCCCACCCCTATTACCAATGCAAAATTTCACATGAGCTATTCACCTACTATGATGTTTTTTCATTTTTTTTCCCATTATGATGTTCAAAACACATTAGTAGCTTAATAGTTTTTTTTAAAAAACAGTAACCATTTAAAATGCTTTGAATGTTTTATATTTTGATACAGACATACAATGTCATCCTGCAACTGTTTTAACTGTCCAAAATGGGCAAAAAAAAAAATTTTACTCTCTGATATTCAAAAAAATTTCAAAAAATATGTGTGTATGTGTTAGTAATACATTAAAAAACAGTCAGGAAAAAACTGCTATGTTCAAGGTGGAAATAAAGAGTTTTTTATTCTATTACACAAAGGTGACTTTATTGTGTTTTATGGAAATTCGGACCATGAGTCCACATATGTGGACATCATTTTTCTCTAAAAGTACATCATATCAAAAGATGATACTTAGTTTTTATTCTAATTAGGTTCCAATAAGCCCAAATAGCAAAGAGAAATAAAAAATGCATGTAAAAAAACAGCTTGGGCCTTAGGAGGTTAAACACAGCAACAGTGAAATGTTATCACATTGAGTAATATTCCAAACACATATATTCATTTAGTCATCAACTGAAGAGTGACAAAATGACCCTCATGTCTCTGCCCATTAAGAGCACTGACGGATCTCAGGTCTCATTCCCTGAGTAGCCCAGCAGCCATCGACTGCTGGGTCAGGTCATTATCATTTGTCAGTGAAACCCTTGAATAAGCTGATAAATGATGAGTGCCTCTTATTCTGTGAGCTACTTTGTGTGCTAACAAACTCACCAAATTAAGGACTTTAGTTACTGAGATTTATAAACCAGAGGTTATTACCAGTATCCAGCAGCTATAATTGGTTGATTTCAAAGTCCTGTGTGTTTAAGCAAAAGATGCAAGGGTGTCTATGTGTATATTTTTGTTCCTAGGTGCATTAACAAATGCACACATGTGTGCATGTGTCCCTGTTGGCCTTGTGTGCCCTTTATTAGCAGCAAGTTGACTCTATTCAGCTTGGCAAGTGATTAAACCTTTTCGTGGCGGGAACTTTCACACTGCTGTGAACTGTGTGAGGTGATTAAAGGCTGCTCAATTTGTAGTCCAGTCCCTCTGCTATTCTTCCTCATTGATCTTTTTCAGGCCCTTGAAGTGAGAGCTAAACACAGCAGGCTCTCTCTCATTGGAATGAGAGAAGAAGCATACTCTCTCTGTCTTTCTACTCATGTCAGAAAATATTTGACGGATATGTATCAAACTATAACTCAAATTAGCTGCCATGTATGGCGGGTATTTAATCATGTTTAT